CAGAAGCCTGGCCATCAGGAAGGAGCAAAAATATTAAACAAAATGGAAATGTTAACAACTAATTTACTTTTGGTTAGTGAAATATGGAGCAACCATCACATTTTCTTGACAGTAACTAGATCTGAGATTCAAGCTGCCAACTCATAAGCAAAACATTGGTTAGTAGATTTTGGATTTTGTCATATAAATTTGGTCCTCATTAATGGACTGTAGACATTCCTTGCTCTTGAGGATTGCTCAGAATCCACTTGAGGATTGCTCAGAATCATGTGGACTCAAGGTGTATGACACATAGGACCTCCATAAAGTCACTCTAGTCTTGACCTAAAATGACTGGATAGGCCAGCCTTGTGGCCAGACCCACTGCCATATCATAACCCTTGACAATCAGGATGACTTGGGGTCAAGGATAAAGCTTTACATCCCCATGGATACACTGCAGCTGAAGACCCCTATCTGCAGGTCTGGGGGTTTAATGAGATCCTAATATACCAGAGTCTGGCCACAACTGGAATCAATGAGGGCAAGACCTGAATTCCTTCCATGTCTATAAGGATATGTCTACACTACCACCCTAGCTTGAACTAGGGTGGTAATGTAGGCAACCGGAGTTGCAAATGAAGCCCGGGATTTGAATTTCCTGGGCTTCATTTGCATAAAGCCAGGCACCGCCATTTTAAAATGTCCGCTAGTGCGGACTCCGTGCCGCGCGGCTACACGCGGTACGGACTAGGTAGTTTGGACTAGGAATGCACTAGCAGACATTTAAAAATGGCGGCACCCGGCTTTATGCAAATGAAGCCCGGGAAATTAAAATCCCGGGCTTCATTTGCAACTCCGGTTGCCTACATTACCACCCTTGTTCGAACTAGGGTGGTAGTGTAGACATACCCTAAGAGTTGTCATCGGACTTGGGGCCCACTTATGGACCCAAGAGTCTCTGGTCCAGACTCAGCTGAAAAAGTCATCTGGGTCATCCTCAAGACCCATCTTGGGCAGGCACACTGGGTTTGGTTGGGGTTGCTGCTCCCACAGGAGTAGAGCTGCTGTCAGTATTAGCACAGCCAGATGTTGCAAGCTCTGCTGTTAGTGCTGGACCTCCTAGCTATGGAATGAGTTTCTGATGTTAATGCCCAAGTTGTTGTAGAAGCTGTTGCTGCTGCTGTGCCATGTACTGCTACTGTTAGTGCTCAGTGAGCCACTGGATAAGCCACTGAGGTTGGGGCGATTCAGTATCCTTATAGCTGCCTGAAGGAGGCTTTGGTTCACTGTTGCTCTGGACTCATCCCCATATTTCAGGGGTGAAATGATGCTTGCATTTGCCACCAAGTGTAGTGGTTCCTTCTTCTTGAATGGAGAGGGAGGCCAATCCACCTTATTGGCAGACAGCAAGTAACTGTTTATAGGGGAAACTCTGGACTTCTGGACTAGGGTAAAGCCATACTCTTCAGCTTGCAGCCACTTGACTGAGTAGACAGCAACAATCTAGATATGAAGCACTCTGGCTCTCTAGGCAGGGCAGAGCCGCAAACAGTGTTTAGCTCCAGTCCCCTGGCTGAGACAAACAAGAAATAACAGTCTATAAATGTATGTCTACATTGCAGTGTTTTTCTGGAATAACAACAGTGTCTCCAGCAATGACTGACCACCTCTCTTTATTCTCCCCAGCTGGACCAGCTGTGACTGTGGGGCGATCGACACCACCCGAGCCAGTCACCTGACGCCAGGGGAGCTCCAGGCATTGGAGGGTCCAGGAGGACCTCATGAAGGAGCATGTCTCCATTCTCTGGGACATGCAGCAGATGCTGGCCCAGAAGGTCCGGGATGATGCACTGTGGCAGGCCCAGATGTGGACTGTGCTGCTGCAGCAGGACCACAACAAGTGTGTGACTGGGAGATGATGGCCTACCCAGCACCAGTCCCAGTCCCTGTTCCAGTCCCCACCCCTCCTCCCATGCCAGCCTCTACCCCCTTTCCCATGCCTGACCCCGCTCCAGCCCCTCGTTCTTCCTATCCCCCCGTTCTCCCAGGATCCTCCACACCCAAGATCGCCAAGGTCCACGGACACAAGTTGGAACAAGCACCCGAACCACGCGCCAGTCTCAGCCCCAGCTCTGAGGCACATTCAGCCTGGATGTGGGCCCTGCCCAGGTGGCCATTAAACTGGTCCCTGCTTGGGTCCAGGTGGCCGGTGTAGGGCTTTATCAGCCACGGCATTATGGGGTAGGCCATGTCCCCCGTGATGCACAGCGACATCTCAACGTCCCTGACCATGATGTTGCATGGGGGAAAGAATATGCCAGCCTCCAACTTCTGGTAGAGGCTGGAGTTGTGGAAGACATGAGAGTCATGTGCCTTTCCCGACCAGCCAACAAAAATATCCATGAACTGTCCACGGTGGTCGACTAGGGCCTGCAGGATCATAGAAAAATATCCCCTGTGGTTTATGTACTGCGCATCACGTTGGTTGGGGTATGGGGATTTCATCTATAGCTCCCCTTCCCTCCCTGCAGTTGGGAAAGCCCAGGGCAGCAAATCCAGCCATGATGGGGTCCAGGTCTCCCAGGCAGATGACCCTGTGCAGCAGGACGGTTTTTATGGCCCTCACCACCTAAAGAAGGAGACAAAGACACAAAACAGAGAATCAAGGGGGGGGGGGGCATGAGCCCTTGGGAGGTCCCCAAGTCTCTCCCCCTGCACAAACACCCCATCAGCCCTGCCCCCTGGCAGACTTCTGTGAGGGAGGAACTGAAGAACTCCTGCCCCCACCCTCAGGCCACCCCATGCATTCCCAACCCCCTTTTCCCTAGGATGTCCCTTTCCAGTACTCCCCTCCCCTCCAGGGACTGCAGCCCAACAGTGCCATACCTCCCTGAGGAAGGCCCCAGCAGCTGACTTTCGCATGCTGAACTGGTTGCCCATGGACTGGTAACTGTCTGGTGTTGTGAGCTTCCAGACAGCAATGGTGATCTGCTTCTCCAGGGAGATGGCAGGTTGCATCTGGGTGTCACATCGTGGGAGGGCAGGGGCGAACCAGGCACACAGCTCCATGAATGTCTTGTTCCTCATGCAGAAGTTGTTGAGCCACTGCTGGTCATCCCAGAGCACCATCACTAGCCGGTCCCACCAGTTGGAACTGGTGTCCAGCCTCCAGAACTGTCTCTCCACGGGGAGGTGCGTTTGCTGGGGCATTGTCCTGGACACAGGCAGAGGTTCTCAAATATGAGCCCAGAGTTGAGCTCATACAGGACCATGAAGGCAGCCTGCAGAAACTGCAGCATGGCTGTGTGGGGCCATTGCAATGCCCAGAGGCAGCTCTGGCTTCATGGCAAGGAGTGCGTTGGTGTCCAAAACCAAGGCAACCAGAGCACGCAGTGGAAATGCTTTGCTGTCCCTCAGAGAGGTAGTGTTCCTCATGCAGAAGTTGTTGAGCCACTGCTGGTCATCCCAGAGCACCATCACTAGCCGGTCCCACCAGTTGGAACTGGTGTCCAGCCTCCAGAACTGTCTCTCCACGGGGAGGTGCGTTTGCTGGGGCATTGTCCTGGACACAGGCAGAGGTTCTCAAATATGAGCCCAGAGTTGAGCTCATACAGGACCATGAAGGCAGCCTGCAGAAACTGCAGCATGGCTGTGTGGGGCCATTGCAATGCCCAGAGGCAGCTCTGGCTTCATGGCAAGGAGTGCGTTGGTGTCCAAAACCAAGGCAACCAGAGCACGCAGTGGAAATGCTTTGCTGTCCCTCAGAGAGGTAGGCAAGCAAGCAGAAGCATCTGAGAAACAGCTGTCTGGGGGGGGGAGGGGGTCCCTTTAAACACGCATCTCAGATAGCCTTAGCCAGCAGCACCCAGAAGCAACTGTTAACCTAATGCCCTGTCTGAACTGGTTCCGGCTGGTCTTAAATGCGAGATAGCATCCAATCAGTGTAGACGCTATCTTTCGAAATAGCACATCACTATTTTGTGGCACTTTTTGTGTGTGGACGCACTATTTCAAAATAAGCTTTTCCGGAAGATCTCTGCCGGAAAAGTTTATTTCGAAAGAAGCTTGACGTATAGAAATACCATAAGGGAGCTCTCGGCCCTGTGGGTGAGGTACAGCATAGTCTATGGCTCCACAGCTTTCTGGAGTGTTGTGGGTCAGTCCACAACACAGTCCATTGCTAGGGTTGGGGTCAGTGGCAAAGAGTTAGAATGACTCGGGCCCACCCTACTCCACTAGGTCCCAGCACAGTGCCCAAGCAGTCCTCCACTGGGTCAGCAGGGATCTTCCTGAAACATGCTAACTCACTCTTCAGAAGCAGAAATAAGCCTAAAATCTGGTTCCTGGGGCTACTTTATAACCCAGTCTGGTTTTAGGGGTCTGTGGTCCAAAAGTTCTTTTTCTCCTCAGGATACTTGGTCACTGGCAGTCCCAAAAGCTCCTCGGAGTACTCATCTAATAGCAGTTCTGGAAGCTTCCTGGGGATACTCTTACATCTCTGACCACAGGGTGCGGCTCCATTCAAGGGTTATTTCAGGGTTCCTGAAAAGTTCCACGGCTTTCCTTTTATACTTCCTGTCCCACTCCAGGACTTCCAGTGTTGAGGTTAGGCAAATTTAGCTCTGCCCACTTGTGGAACTGTAGTGGTCCCTTCAGTTCAGAGGGAGGCCACTCTGCCTCATCCCATGCACAAAAGAGTCAAAGGAAGAGTGAGAAATATGTTTAACTAGCTTTTTGACCTATGATTTCATTCAAGATTTTTAATTTGAAAAAAACCAACAACAACCCAAAACCTTAATATAAAACTTGTAGCACTAACATGCCTCAACCATGTTTTGCCTTCTATTACTTCCTGTAAGGTATCAGAGCAGTCCCTTTATTTCTACCTGTCAAAAATGTTTTATGTTTGCAGTATGTGCAGAACAAAAATGATCTAGGGTTGCATAAAATTGGTGCATTTATTAGTGTCTTATTAATAAATCATTTTTGTTGCTAGGTAAATACGAGTGACAAATTAATAAAAAAATTTACACAAATAGTTTTATTACAAATTTGATTTTTAAAGAAATACATATTTAAGAAATTACATAAAAGGCCTTAGCATTCTCAAAAATATTTTGGTATTTGCATGGTTATTAACTATAAAACAGTTTTAAACACAGATGTGCACAAACATCAGAATATTTGCATAGAAAACTATTTCTTTAGACCACTCTGAAAAAACTTTTCTGGGGAAATATTAACAAAATTAAGGCCTTTTAAATTTGCAATATCAAGTCATTCAGTGTGTGATTAGTGTTTAAAACCCTGAAATATTAAATACAGAATAAACACTGTAAGCTTAAGGCACATCTTACTAGAATAAACACAAACAGCCATTAACCTGGGTTCATTCTCTGCAGTATACAGAGTTAGGAATTGAAATGAGCTATAGAAACAGATGTTTCACATTAAGTATTTTAGCATTTAACATCTAATTTATGACACTGTATTGAAAAAGAGGAAAAATTTTGTAAGCTTCCTTTGAAACAATAGCAAGCTCGAAGCTTGATTCGCCTAATTGTTGATACCTATATAAATTACTAATATATATATATATATTTTTCCTGACCACAATTGGACCATTCCTTATTTCCCAGGAAATTTTTTTCCACTACATGAAGAAGCTGCATAGTACCAAACATTGCAGAAACATTTAATTGCTCATTTGTGGAACTAGTTTGGCAAACACTTTCTTTGGACTGTAGTCCACTGAAACTAATAGGACTGGGATGGAAGTAAGCACTACAATAGAAAAACAGGGTGGATGACACCCTATATTTTGAAAAGATGGATACTTGCTGTTTAACCATAATCTATAATCCCAAAACTCTTCTTTATATTAGTATTACTTTGTACAGGAACAATAAGTACATACCTAAGAGTCTGGAGTTTTAAGATAGTGAGACAATGGTAACAACATGCATATCTGTGTAAGAAAAATGAATCTAAATATATAATACAAGAATGAGAAAGGGGAGTCAAACAGCATATAAGGCATAACAACATACCTCCTAGCACCTTTGAATTTTTTTGAGTGAACTCTGGCTTTTTTTTTTTATACTGTCAGTGCATTACATAAACATTTCTTTTATCAAAAGTGCCATTTGGTATGTCAACATTTGAAGCTCATCTTTGTTGTCTCTTTTCTTCTTCGGCAAGTACAGGGCCAGTAAAGCAGTGAGTGTTAGTTATGCAAGTTTCTATAAGGCACTTTACTGTTTTCATATTGGACAACAATGAGGTACATATGATATAAGTCTAGGCTTCATTGCTGTTTAACAAATAGCACCATATTGTGACATTAGTTGAAATTCAAATGTCATTATGTTCTTCTCATACAGACTTGACAACGGCTAATGTTTGAGCGCAGGTCTCCTGCTTTCAGAGTTGAAGGAGTAGGTTTCCTATAACAAAAAATGGACAGTCATCAACAGCTGCTACTACAAAAATATTACTTTGCAAGTTTATTGTTAACTGGGCAGTGCTTTTAATACAGAAGTTTAGTCTCTTAATGAAAAATTGAAAAATCTGGGGCAGAGTTGAATCAAGTGGCTAGGTCACTGCAGCTATCTAGTCACTTCTTTCAGAAATTCAGTCATAGTAATTTGCTATTTTTAATAGTGGGAGAAAAATGACTATACACAAAGTGATGTCAAAATAAATAAAACAAACTTTGAAAAAAGATTTCTCTCTTTAGCTATAAGGAATTATTCAAAATAAAAGCAGGTCAAATATTTTCTCTCAGAAGTTTGACTTTTTTTTATTGACTATGTCCCTTTAATAATCCAGACCTCAAGCCTACAATTTGGATTCATGTGAGGTAAGGTTGCAGAATTGGTTCCCAACCAAGGACATATGATGTACAGACTAGGGGTACGTCTAGATTACATGCCTCTGTCGCCAGAGGCATGTAGATTAGGCTACCAGACATAGTAAAATGAAGCGGCGATTTAAATAATCGCCGCTTCATTTAAATCTACATGGCTGGCACGCTGAGCCGACAAACAGCTGATCAGCTGTTTGTCGGCTCAGCGCGATAGTCTGGACGCGCAGGTGGTGACATCAAAGGTATCTGTCGACCACCCAGGTAAACCTCATCCCAGGAGGCATTAATTAATTTGAATGGCCCTGTGGAGGAGCTATTTCGAAATAGAAGCAGTGGCATGTTCATAGTGCTGCTATTTCGAAACAGTTATTTTGGAATGGGCACTATTCCTCATGGAATGAGGTTTATAGAAGTCAGAAAAAGCTGTTCATTATTTCCAATTTATTTCAAAATTACGGAATTGCTGTGTAGATGCTCACATTGTTATTTCGGAATAACGGCTGTTATTCTGAAATAACGCTGCTGTGTAGATACGTCCTTAGTGAGGGTCATAAGGAATAAAATAACTACGATGCTCATTCTTCCATCTTTCTCTCTGAGTAGTCTTCCTTATTCTAAAGGGTAACATTTATTCTGCATCACTTATTTCCTCAATTTAAAGCCTAAATACTACAGAAATTATGCACAAGCCCTTCTGCAGAGGGTGAAGCTCACAGGTGAATGATAATTGTTCAAGATCATTCAGTTCTCTGCCTCTCTGTATGTCTACACTGCAGTTAGATAATCCTGGATGGGCCATGCCAGCTGACAAGGACTCACAGGGCTCAGGCTAAGAGTCTGTTTAACTATGGTGCAGATTTTTGGGCTCGGGATAGAGCCCAAATTCTAAGACCTTCTCTTCTCACAGGCCGTGTCCAGACTCAGGGTTTTTTTCGGGAAAAGTAGCCTTTTCCTGAAAAAACTTCCCCTGCGTCCAGACTCAAGCCGCGTTCTTTCGAAATTATTTCGAAAGAACGCGGCTTTTCTTTCGATGGCGGTAAACCTCGTTTCACGAGGAAGAACGTCTTCCTTCGAAAGTTCCTCTTTCGAAGGAAGGCGTTCTTCAATGTAAAGAGGCCGTCTTCGAAAGAGAGCATCCAGACTCGCTGGGTGCTCTCTTTCGAAAAAGCGGATTTCCTCTATCGAAAGATCCGCCTGCTGTCTAGACGCGATCTTTCGAAAGAGCCTCTTTCGAAAGAAGCCTGCAGTCTAGACATAGCCACAGTGTCCTAGAGCCCAGATGCCAGACTGTATGAATGTCTAAACCACAATTAAATATCCTATTATCTTAAGCCATATGAGTCCAAGTAGCTGTCATGGGCAAGCCATAGATTTTTAATTGCAATGCAGACATACCCTATCTGAGGAGATGTGAATGCCCATGCTAGTATGAAGTGGTTCAATGATGAACTAATATCCATTAGAGATGAGAATGTACTTCTGGATTAATTTCTATCAAGAGGTCAGTGTATCCCAGTTACAACTGAAGTCACACAAAGTGAAACCCAGGTGTAGGGGAAGCACAAATACTCTGAGGTCATCCTAAAACATGTGGTAAAGACTACCAAAATGTTGATGATATTTATCCTTTCTTCCCAAAAGCATTATTTTTCAATATTATTTTCACAAATATTTTAACTGAATGTATTAATCCAAATAGATTAACAAGAGTCATTAACCATTTAAGCTTAATTTAGAGCAATATTAGTGTAACATTAAAGCAAGTTTCACACTGTTGTTCTTGCAGTTATTTACTGAGCTGTGAATATGGATTTTAAAAAGTAAAATCAGCTATAACTTACTTGAACATCTCATTTCTCTCTATAGTGGCAAGCCAAAAGCTGTAAGCATTTGCATAATAGTTACAAGTCCCACGACCATGGCATTCTATGAATGGAGCACTGCGGAACTCCTCGAGACAGGAACCTGGAGATGCCAGAGCTTGTCCAGAACCCTCAGCACCAGCGCTAGTATGCTAGGAAAACACAAGTAAATCAATCAGATTAGAAATATCTAGTTCTTTAGTGATAGCAGTTGTAACTCTTTTAAACCAATACTTTGTCATATGCATTTCTGCCCCTCTTTTTGCTCATGTGGGAGAGAATCTGATGTTGATCTTTCCCACTGCTTTGGGGTACTGGGTCACTAACTGGGCACAGTGAGAGCCTGGGAAATCTAGGAAAATAGTTGGGAAGAATGGTTTCCAGGGGCAGGGTCTCTTGGGCCCAAGGCGCATTGCATTGAAGGCGATTAGGGAGAGTATCTTGTAGTCCACTGATGTTAGCGCCCATGGAACTGAAGAGCCTTGTGTTACCAGAGTCTGTGTCAGATAAAGTTTGGTACACCACAGCTTGCACAACAGATCAACAATTCTATTAGGCAGAGGCCTTATTTATGGAGAGATCAAGAAAAGCACAGAAGGAGGTACTATATTGCTCTTTGAACGTGCTTGAAAGGTCTGTTAACTTTAATTTTCATTCAGTCCTTGGCATTTGTGCTGAAGTTGTAAACACACTGAATGCCAGTGTGCATTATTACTAAATTATTCTCTCACATTCATTAAATTGACAATATGTTTTTAAAGTCACCAAAATAGCAGAGACCTATTCCTCCGACCCTTATTTCCCTGCAATGGCCAGACAGACAGTACCTTTGTAAAGGCAGGAACATATCCAACACCCACATAAATTATTTTCTGGTCCTGGTGAGAACCTGATGCACTTACCATTACAAAGGAGTAACCAATCCAAAGAGACATCCAGCCTTCAGGGCACATAGGTATTTGAACAGTTTGGCTGTGAACAGCAATTACCATGGCAGGAGCCTCACACACAGAGCATCTATAAAGAACAGGACAGCAAGGAACTCATTGTACTTGCTGTAGTAACATTTGTTTCCTCTTTGCAGGAATTAATTACATAGCAAGTTCAAAATTTAGAAGATCAGCACTTCAGTTCTGTTTATTTTTCCTATTAGAGGGCAGTTAAGCATTAGAGTCACTAATCTTACTGGTCTTCATTGGATAAAGGAAAGGAAGGGACTTATTATTACAAACGGTTTAATACATTTAGTATTTTACCCTTTTTCCCTTTTTAAAAAAATTCAACAGCTGGCATATGTGTAATGTTATTAACTCTGAAGGGGAAATGGCTAAAGAACTAGAAGAAGGTCTGGTGAAACAAGGAGCAAGTAATAGCAATACATTGCTATAATTGTAGACTACTATGACTTCTACAGAGAGCACGAGCACTTCTTGAAGATGCAGAAGACTTATTGGGAAAGCCAATGACACATTTAAAGAGGAGTGCACCATATGTATTCCCTTTAAGAGTGATATGTGATTCTGTCTGGGGCACTTGTCTCTGAATAATGGACAACTGGAACACAGGCCTGGGGGAGACCATCATTTTGAGAGCTTTACAAAGATCCTTTTAGTTTAGATTCTGAGCCTTCTACTTCTGAATTGCTAAATCCTAAAATATACAGTGGGCTCAGGTTCATTAAAAACGTGATTCTCTTTCACGTTGCTACCACTGCCAAAGTGCTAATAAATGCCAGTTTTGATGCAAATAATAAATCATATGCATGCCTGTTAATTAGGGATTTGACTGGAACCACCAATTCCTTGCTTGTAGCACAGCCCTAAAATAGCTACTTTTAATAAGCACTGGCCCGTTTGGTTCAAATGAGATACCTAGATATGAACAGTATTGTATTGCATTATCAGAGCACCAGAGAAATTACTTTTAACAAGTGGGAATAAGCTGGGTTCCACAAAAGCAAAGAAATTCAGAGTGAAGGCATCTATGTTTGACTTAAAAGGATTTATATGCTGCCTAGAATTCCAGCACAAAAGCTACTTGGTTATATTAAGAAACTCAGCAATAAAAGAAAAATATAGAATGTAAAAGAAACCTGGTACTTGCATTGCTTCAAGAGATTTCAGGTGCACCAAGGTATGATTTTGGAACAAAGAAAGTCTCTTGAACCAGGGCAGGTAAGTGTCACTCTTATATCTTTTGACACAGGACGATAATGGTTTAAAAGTCTCAAATAATAAAAGAAAACCGACAGACTATGGAGATAGCCTTTTGCTTTGAGAATCCAGGATTTAAAGGGAAAGCTGCAAGATCTACAAATATATACATATAAGACACCAAAGGTACTCTGAGAAAGTGTGTGTGAGAAAGTGGGCAGTTTAAGGGCAAAATGTCAAGAGTGGTACTGTCAAGGTTTTCAAGAGTAACTCGGGATTTTTGATATCTGACTTGATCAACTTAATGGGGCTTAGCTTTCAGATCCTGGGCAGTCATCATTTTTTGAAAGTTAGATCCTATTAAGGTAGCTTCAGTAGGAAACACAGAAATGGCGACACTCGCAAACCCTAATCTTTTTGGGGCATATTGGGTGTCAAATAAGGCAGGAAGGCTGAGTTTTGACCCATGCTACTGTGGCACACTGCTATTTTTAGTATGCTAGCTTGAACGGAGCTACCATATGTGTCTGTCTAAGCTGGGAAGCAACCTCCCAATTTCCACGTAGGCAAAACCTCAGATTCTAGGTCCTGCCTGACCCCTGCGTGCCATGATAATCAATTTAGGAAGATTCTGGAGCTCTTTTCTCAGGTCCTAGTTCAATCAGAGTGATGCAGTCCAGTAAGTTCATACAATCTCTTCTGCCTTAAGCCTGGTGCATGTTACATCAGGGCACAGATTTGCTAGTAAATTTTAAAAATCAGGATCAAACCCTCAGCTGATGTAAACTGCATAGCAAAAAATGAGCTAAATGCAACTATGTCAGTTTATACCACCTAAGGGGTCAGTTCTACAAACAATGAATGAATGCTTTACAATACTACACCTAGGTTCCTTTACATTATTTGTTTGCTTTCAACTCACACTAGTTATATTCAGGCACCAAAACAAAGTCCAAAGCAGTGCAATAAACCTGGCTTACTACACAATAGTTAAAACAAGCACTGACATGTATTTGAAAGGGAAAAGATACTGAGCCACAAAGGGCTTCTAATTAGAACTGTGTGAAGAAAATAGAATTTTTTTCCTTTGAAATTTTCAATAAAATTAAAATTTTCTGTTTAGTTTTAAATTTCCTGGGTTTTTTTCAGTGATTAAAATAAATTAAATTAAATTAATTAAAAATAAATATTTTTGTTTCATATGAATAAAAAAAATTATTTTTGGCTTGGGTTCTCCTTACTTTTTTCTGGTGGAAAATGAAAGTACTCAAAATACTTTCATTTTATTTAATTTGAATTAATATGGACATCTTTTGATTTGAATAATTTAATTGAAAAAAAAAATCAGAATATTCTGAGTGATATGAAAAAGGTTTGATGACTTTTTTTTGGACCACTTCTACATTTAATAGGTCTTCTGCATATTTGTAACCAATGTGGCAAAAGCAATACTCACCTACTGATGAATGGCCTGATATTGTCACCAGTGATAGGAGCCATACTCATTGGCATGGGCTCAGGCGTAGACAGCCAGTAGGAATAGTCATTTCTCGATGCAAAGTTGCACACATTATTGATGTTGCAGAACAAGAATGGCATAGTGCTAAATTTACGAAGACAGCTCCCTGCTGTGCCTGAGAGAATAATGCAAATGATAATATGTAACATTCCTTTTGAGTAAATATTTGGCAACTGGCATATTTTAATCAGTGCAATTGTGATGACAATGCACAATGTTTAAAGTGCTAACATGACAGCCCTGGATCTGAAACTCACTTAATGGCTCACTCCAGCAGAATGTTGAGAGCATAAGAGAGGTTCTGATAGCAGTTTGAGAGGGGAGGGATGGCTTGTTTTGCTCCTATACAAATCCCAATGGCAGACCACATTCAGACTTTAAAATCATTTTTCCACCTCAGCAAGACGATAGTCTAGTTTATACAGTGGTTGTTTTAGGATTGTATATTTGTTTATCAAATGCCAAAATGTACACAAAGGCAATAATAAGAGTACAACTTAAATATAAAAAGTCAGGGAATGCAAAACAGAAGGGTTTTTCAGTAACCTCAGTATTGTTACAGGAAGCAAAGACGATATTTTTGATTACTAGTAATTAACCAAACTAGTAATCAAATACATTACAAATGAGCAATGCATAAGACTCTCTGATCAAAGATGTCATTATCTCTTTGCAGTTGGCTGACCCACACCTTGATCTCAGTTGTAGTCTCACTGAGTCTCTTTCCCCTAGATCCCCTATAGGTAGGGCTTAAATTCTCATAGACTACTTTCCAGAGCCCCCCTGCTTGCCCTGCACCCCCAACTTATTATAAAAACTCCCCGGGATTGAAAATATTTACCGGAGCTTTGCTCTGGACAGCTGTGGCTGAACTGAAGCTCTGCCTATGGGAGCCCCATTTATGGGTAATCTAACTAGTCATAGAAGGTGCTCAGCTCATTCTTGGGGTCTTTTCAGAGCCCGACTACAGTTCACTGCCTATGTCGTCCCTGGAGGTGCTTTCCAATTCCTGCCATAGGTCACTGGTGGGAAACAACCCTTCAAGTTTGTAATGTCAAGCTTTTCTTCCCAAAAATTGGTAGGGAGTGGGGCGGTGGGGAGGAAAGGCCGGCGAATGGCTGGGACTGAGCTCCCCTTGCTACTAGATCTCTTTAGGAATCCCTAGTAGCCTTCCTGCTCCAGGCAATTTTTTTCTGTGGCTAGTTGCACCTTTTTAAGCTCTCCTTCTCCAGGCTAGGCATGTTCTGCAGGGACACCCATGTCTTTATGCCAGTGTGAGGTTGTGTCCCATCATGCTCCACAGTGCATTAGTGCAAGTTTGTGTGTGCTAGAAAAGGGTAAAGCACTCTAACAGCTATGAGTATTATGCAGTCTGTGCTCTACATAGTGTAATAGGAGCCTACAAGTAAGAGAAGTATTTGTTTGGTTTGCAATGAAATGTAGCTGCACGACACATTCATCAGTAATGCACGCTAACATCTGATTTTATTTATTTTATGATTTCTTACCCAAATCCTGACCATGTGCTCTCTCATTGCCTTGTACATAAAGTAAGGAGTATCCATAGTACATCAGTTTAGTTCCAGGTGGGCATTCTGGTTCTTCAATGGATTGACTGTGTCTGGTAACGAGGAAGCCATGAGCGACAGATGCTGTGCCTGGTGGGCCCATTGACCCTGGTAAACCCTCTGGGCCTGGTGGACCTCTGGTTCCTTGTGGACCTATAACACATCAAGTCACATTTACCTCTTTTTTATTTCTAGAAGTGTTAACAGAGAGAATCCAATCTGAGCCATCAGTTGCATATTTATTTTCAATGTACGCAGCTATGGTATTCCCACACTTAGTTAAGCAGACTACACATAGTGTCAATGATAACATTTACGAATTATCAGGAAAATAATGATTATGCAGGATATGCTTGCATAACATTTTGGTTTTAACATTACACTAGAGTTAAATGTTTTATCTGGGGAGAAAAATTACTCTGCAGTATTCACTACTACTTTACTATAATATATTAAACTCTAACACATAAAGGAAAATAATTTAGACAATGGAAGCAAATGAAGCTAAAGTACTCTGATTATTAAATGCCTCTAAGAGTGGCTACAAAGCAAGTGTGCCAACTTCAGATGGAGCTGAAATTAAGCAACTAGAGAATGGCTGCTTACCACGCAATCACTGTTAAGAATATGAACTGTCTGGAATTACAACATATATTAAATGAAAAAACAACTAACATCTGAATGAACATTAAGATTGGGAAAAAATAAGCATTCAAATATGAGCATATTCTCTAAACTAAAGGTTTCTCTTGCAATGTTAAAGTGTCCATTTTGTTCATCCATGTTATTTACAATATACATAACACATGGACATTCACATTTTATGAGGAAAGAAGGACTAGAAAATATGACAGGGAAGATTTGTCATTGGGAGTGTGTACACAGGGGGAAAGATAAGAAAGGTGGTGGGAGCCTTTTCCGGTGCAAGCCCTGTGTAAGAGCCAGGGGGAAATACTGTGATTGAGGACATGCAGCAACTGGCTCCTTCCTTCGCCCTTAAGGGATAAACATCACCTCAAAGGGATCAGGAAAGTGGGCAGGGTTGCATGATCCTAAAAGATTCGATTTTATTAAGATGGCAAGATCACTAGGCATGTCAGTGGCACTTGTATGATCCTTGACTCATAGCTATAGTGAAACCTACACTCAGATATGTCCTCAGATGTTTTAAAAAAGCTCAGGTCCCATGGATACCTAAGCATTAGAGGAATAGAGCTGCAGAGGATTCATGTCTTGTGGGGCCAGTTAAATACTTAGTGACAAGCAAGTTTGCTGGCCAGTCTTCCAAATCGGAAGGTCTGATTGTGCTTTTTGATGGCTGAGGACAAAAGTCTGACATGTTTCCCTGCACAACTTCTTTGTGGCTTCATTCAAACAAATTGACCAAAGTTTCCAAGGAAGTTTCCGCCACAAGATGCTAGCAACACCTCCTTCTACATCTATTCATTCTCTGCAATTAACAAATGGTAATGGTACTAGGGGCTACTTACAATACATGGGCAACACATCTATCTTTATTGGCATGTTTCTGATCTTCCATCAATGTAAATAAAGACAATGAATTTATCCCAGTAACCCTAGATTCTGACTAGTGTCTACTGAAGTTAAAACAAAAAACACTTAGGGTATGTCTACACTGCCACCCTAATTTGAACTAGGGTGGCTAATGTAGGCATTCGAACCTACAAGGAGGTTTAACGAAAGTTCGAAGTAGGAATTCGAACTACCTAGTCCGTGCCATGTGTAGCTGCGGGCAGGTAGTTCGAACTATGGGGCATTTAAAAATGGCGGCACCCAGGAACGTGCAAATAAAGCCTGGGATATTTAAATCCTGGGCTTTATTTGAAAGTTCGAATGCCTACATTAGCCACCCTAGTTCAAATTAGGGTGGCAGTGTAGACATACCCTTATTGACTTCAGTGGTTGCTGATCAGACCTACGTGCTTTGACAGGATGTTGTTCCGTGCATTCTTGCATTTTCAAGTATCTGTAATTTTATGTATTTTTGTAAGTGATACAAAGCACACACTTTTCATCGTAACCTAATCAGTCATCAAATCCAAATGTTCACGTATTTTTAAGTAAGCACTATGAGATAAGAAATACGATTCTACTTTATTTTTAAAATTGAAAATGATTATTTATGCTTTCATGACTCAAATGGCTCAAGAGATTTCATCTACATTTTTCAAAACTATTCCTCCTTGGGCAGATGCCAAGCTTTAGGTCTTCTAAAGTGTATTTTACCATGATATGTAAACACTATGCTGTATTCTTAACATATAATATTACAGATGATTTGTACAGATCAATCAGTTCAACCAAAATAATTACTTATCACCTTAGAAAGACAAGGTGACCTGAAGAAGAGCTCTGTGTAAACTCAAAAACTTGTCTCTTTCATAACAGAAGTTACTCTAACGAAAGATATTATCTCACCCACCCTGTCTCATATCCTGGAACCAGTAAAGAAAAGCACACTTCTTATAATCTTGTTAGTTTACGCAAACTCCTCTTCATTTTTATAATTTGCCAATCAAATAGAAATAATTTATTTAGCTATCAAGAAATGTGTTATATAAACAAACATATTGTAGGGATTAGAAGCTTCAAGGGGTAGCATTACATTCCCATTCTCTCTTGTGTGTTCTGTAATGTGTCCTCCCTCTCCCCCCAAAAATTCATCTTAACTCTGCCTTTAACCCAAATTGAAACTGTTTCTGTTGCTGCTTTCTATGGAGAATTCCATACTTGGTCTACTACCAGTGCTGCCTACTGAAATTCTGCCTATATTCCCTTGAGACCTGAGCGTCGTTCAAGTTCCTAGTTCCTAAAACTGACAAAAAATCTAATATTCTTGTAGCTTCTATCCTTTCTATTCCCATCAGAACTATACATACGTCACTGAGTTTTTTTTCCTTTCCAAAGAATAGAGGCCTAGTCTCTCTTATATGTAGAATTAAATTCAGCACTGAATTATTCTGGCTATTTTCTGCAGTGCCTTTTCCATCTCTGTAATGGTGACCTAATTCATCGCCTTTTTGTACAGTGATATTCTCAGTTATTCAAAATCTTTATTTCTTTTGTTGCACTTCAAACTGCTGCTAAACACCGGGCTTAAACTTTTAGTGATCCTTCCAATCTAACCTAGAATCTCCACAAAATAAAAATACTCATTCAGGTCCTATTTAGGCTAGAAAAATCAATTAAATTAAACAGTATTAACTTCTATTTTGTTAAGCTAGGCAGAGAACATAAATTCTCAATTCCTGATCACTGGGCTGACTAGGCTACCACTTTGAGAATTATGAATAATTTATTCTTTTCCATATATTGTTATCTTGAAGGTATTTCTGGTCTGTGATCATTTCCTCTGAGTCTTCATTTTTCTGAAATAAGATGCCTAACACTCATTAAAGGTATTATAAAATTCCACAGGTAATCTAGCTAAATCCACGGTCTTTTCATTATTAATAATTGCATCTAATATTTCTTCTCTTGCCAGCTGTAACTGGTAGCTCTACCCTAATAGAATGGTGGAGGTCTTGAGCCCATATATCTTTTGCTCATTGTAGCTGTATTTCTTTTTCCTGGCATCTGAGCTATCACCATCCTTTATTAGGACTGTGGTAAATAACATATGGCCATTTATTCCTATGTAAAATAGCCTTATCTGTCACTAAATTATATCCAAAACAAATGTTTCGGCAGTGCCAGCAATTCCTTTAATGACCATGTACTTTTAAATGCTGTAAGTGTTGTTATGTGCCTCTGCTTCTTGTGTCATGTTTACCAACTGCCAATATTATTTTTCTTATTTCACCCTTCCCTTCATCCTATAAACACTACCAGCAATCTTTTATAGTCCCTATGTAATGTACAACAGAGTCTTTTAAGGACTACAAACACCTACCTGGGGGACCAGCAGGACCAGGTTCTCCTTTCTGACCAGGTTTGCCATCAAACCCTGGAATACCAGGTTGTCCAGGTATACCCTCGGGTCCTGTCACTCCTGTTGAAATGATAAGAAATCATTATGATTAGATCGCAGAGACATACTTGTTCTTACTTTTTGTATTATGGGGTAGCAGTACAGAAATAGGCACGTGCCAGTACTTATGGGTAAATGCCAATACCCAGAGCAGGAGCAGGCAAGTGGGGGTGCTAGATGGGGACAGGGTGTTGAGGGATGTGGGATGGGAGAAGATCAAATATAGTCACTGGAGATGCACATTTGGCAGTAACTAATTTCCTGCTAGCATTTGTCCAGACAGTGAAGAGGATGCAAAGGCTTTCTCCTCATTCTGTGACAGCAGGAGTTGAGACCTGAAGGAGCTTTAAGTGAAAGTCCATACAGAGAGCCCAAGTTGTGGGAAATTCAGTCCTGCTGGATCTTTGCCAAACTGGTTTTAACTTTACCCGTTGGGTCAGTGTTTTATTTTGTAGCGGTTTGTATATTTTTTTTACTCTCATTTATATACCATACTGCAGTCTGCAAGGGATGCAGTTTAACAACTCAAGCACCAAACTGGTACTTCCTCTCTGTTCCACATACCTAACTTACATCAGTTCTTCTGAAGATACTGCATTACAATAAGGCTTTGAGATAACTATTGGCAAATGGTTACAGACTCTTTTTGACCAAGGCCATATTATGTCAGTGAAGCTATTTGAATGATTACACAGCCATTTAAACAACTCACAACTGTGCACATATATGGCCCAATACCAAGAGAAATTATCATACCCTTTCTGCTAAATAGAAAAAGCAAAACAAACAAACCCCAGACTCAAACTCTCTATCACTTTATTTCACCAAAACCTCCATATAAAATAACAGGGAGCAGGGGGAAGGAATTTCTCCTTTAAAATGTTACCAATTTTGGAATACAAAATGCTACTAACCCTCACCCATTTAAAAAAAATTAAACTTTCCAATTTAGGTGTTTTATGTAAGTTTCAGGGTAAATGCTGGTCAGTACACCAGAGACGCTGGTCTCTATCACTTTATTTCACCAAAACCTCCATATAAAATAACAGGGAGCAGGGGGAAGGAATTTCTCCTTTAAAATGTTACCAATTTTGGAATACAAAATGCTACTAACCCTCACCCATTTAAAAAAAATTAAACTTTCCAATTTAGGTGTTTTATGTAAGTTTCAGGGTAAATGCTGGTCAGTACACCAGAGACGCTGGGTTAACCTCCCTCCCCTATAGGCAGCCACTACAAATGTGGCTGGAGAAGCTGCTGGAAAGAACTTAAGTTATGTCAATAGTTTACTAATGCTCAGTCTGTCACAGCTTCTTTTTACATTATGCACTACTTATAGGTAACTTTATAACCTTCTCACCTTGTTGTCCTTTGGGACCTGGAACTCCAGGGAACCCTTTGAGACCAACTGGTCCGACAGGCCCAGGTAAACCTGGTTCCCCTTTAAGAAGTTCATAATGACCAGGGAGACCTGGGGGACCTTGTAAACCTGTCAAAATTGATGAAGCAAACACAGAAGAAAGTGTTTGTTATCAGACAGTATAGATAATTAACAATTATGTGCACTAGCACCCAAAGATGGCAATAAGGATTGGTACCTATTGTGCTAGGCTCTATACAAATAAATTGGGGTTAAAAACCAAGCTCTAAAAGCTAAGAGCCTAATTCTATTTGTAAATTATCCTTACAGACTGTACATTTTAAGGTTGAGATCCTAGTAACTCAGTTGCACATCCTAGAGTGGTGGTGTTTTTTTAACATTATACAAAATGCAAATGGTGATATGATGCCAGTTATAGTAAGCTAAATATATCTATTTTAAAAAATACAAAATCTGAAAAATGCCTAAGAATACCGTACCTTTAGAGCCAGGAAAACCTTGGTCACCTTGCTCTCCTTTGATACCTGGGAAGCCAGGAGCCCCTTTTGGACCTGAAGATTTACATGAAAATGTAAGCCATCATGTTTTGTTTTAAAACTAGGTATGTTGAGTAATAATCTAATCCCACAAATGCTAAGATTTTACCCACATAAGCAGTTCCTTTGATTTCAAATGTCTGCAGAAACAGGGCATATGAAATTTGCACATAAAACCTCCACCAATATTCAATGAAAAGATGTCTCAATTGACACTCAGACTTCTAAATTAAAATAAATTCTAAGGCTGTGTGTAAACTACATCCCTTTTCTCAAAAAAGGGATATAAATTAGACTCTTGGATTGAAAATCAAAAAATGAGGAGTACAGTATCTTTCGAAAAAGGGTTTTATTTTCAATTAGATGTCTTTTCATAAAATGGGGGGGAAAGTACAGTCTTCTTCTACCTTACATGAAGCTACAGAACAATACTTTTGCACCTACATGCAAATTATATATTTCTCCTCACCTTGAAACCCAGGAACTCCTGGTGGTCCCATATCACCCTTTAGACCAATACCTCCTGGAAAACCAGCACTACCCTGCATAAGAAGAAGCAGTCAGGTGTGAATTATCCTATATTTCTATGACTTGCCTCTCAAATAATCATGTGATTTTGGAAAGCTGTAAAAACACTTACATTGGTAATTTCTAAAATCAGAGATAAGCAGCCATTCAGCTGATCCTTCTCTAATGTTATGCTGTCCAAATTAGAAGACTTTGTTCAGAAACAAAGGTAAGCAGGCAATGGAACCTGCATGCTGATCTGTGCTATGCTATGCTTTATCTTTCAAACACATCGGGATAAAATAAGGTGGCTCAAATGGCCTTGAGAAATGACACCATGAAACAAATGAATAGAGAGACAAGTATGACTGACTATAACATTCATTCTGTGTATCCTAGACTCAGGGAGCTGGCCTCAGGAGACCCAAGTGGAAAGGTATGGTATTTTGGGTCACAGAAATGATTAGTTTGTATATGGTATGAGATGAAAGGTAGTCAGCAGACTTTAGTTCCCTTCCAAGGGTCTTAGTCTTTTCAGCAGGGCTGAACAGGTCTAGAAACTAAGAAATTTAACACAGAAGGCCTGATTCTCCTTTCACATATAGTGCTGTAAATGAATTACTCCAGTGAAATTGGTTATACTGGTTTTATTATAGTCTAAAGCCACATCTGCACTACAGAATTTGGTCAATAAACGCTACATCAGCATACAACTGCCGAAGTTAGTGTATTTCATATGCTTATGCACACTTGGCTGTTTATGTCAGTGCTGCACATATTGACCAGGAATACTTGTGTCAATGCAAAGTGCGGTGCATTATGGGTGGGTATCCCTGTGTGTCACGTGCTACCATCAGGTGCAATGCCTTCTGGGAAGATTTTTGCAATGTGTTGTGGTATATAAGAAGCATTGCACAGCAGGCTGGGGGAGGGTGGCAGGGAGGAGTGTAGCAGACTGATGGCCTGCTATGGCTTCTACCACCATGGTGATTGTGCGACTTGGGGGGGCGATCTCTGCTTTCGCCCTGTGCCAGGCTTCCTGTAATCTTCCCGTTCATGTTGCTGGGATAGGGGCACAGGGCAAGGGCAGGATATGGGGATATGCCAGGCGTTGGAGAAGCAAACATCATGCAAACTTTCTATGTACAACATATCAGAAGGAGCATACAAAGATACGCTATGTTCAACAGTGCCAAGGCACTCCAAGCTTGACCTACAATAGCTTTTCCTGTATGAATTCTTGATCCTCTCTCTCATTTTAATTTATTTTCACAATGAGATAAATTTTATTACACAATGACAAAAACAACATTGCAAATAGAGTACATGACATTTTTGATATTTGAATGTACAGTTATCTAATTCTATTATTTTTTAAATTTATCTTCAAATGTAGTGTTGAAATTCCACTATATAATAATTTCCAAAAATGGGGGAAAAACCACCCAATACAACACTAATATATTTTAAACCTCAGTTGGAACCATTTTTATTCTGACCCTCACTTGGTTTTATGCTGACACTCATTTGGTATAAAAATGAAAACTGTGTTGCTACACTTCTCATGTCTTGCTCACAACACTCCCATTAATGCATCCCAGAATCATGTTTGCCTTTTATGCAACAGTGTCTCACTGTTGACTCATATTTAGCTTGTGGTCCACTATGATCCCTAGATCCCTTTCTGCCATACTCCTTCCTAGACAGTCGCTTCCCATTCTGTATGTGTGAGACTGATTGTGCCGTCCTAAGTGAAGTATTTTGCATTTGTCCTTATTTTAAACTTCATTCTGTTTATATCTATTTCTTCAGTTTGTCCAGATCATTTTGAATTATGACTCTATCCTTCAAAGCACTTGCAAACCCCTCCTAGTTTGGTATCATCTGCAAATTTAATAAGCGTACTCTATGCCATGGGGCAAAGGGGCCTCCACAGGCCGGCCCGCCAAGTGGATGCTCTACCACTCCCCTGCCCCCAGGCCAATCAAGGCCTGGGGGTGAGAGAAGCACACAAAATCTCTAGTTCCCTGCCCCTGCCCCCTGCCCCCTGCCCTGCAAGCGTCACATACTCTTTGAAGGGCAGGAGCAGGGAGCAAGAGACTTTGTGCGCTCCTCCCGCCCCCAGGCTCTGATCGGCCTGGAGAGTGCGCAAAATCACCTGCCCTGAAAGGGCGTGTGGCACTTAAGAGTTGAAGCACCACGTGCTCCTTGCAGGGCAGAGGCAGGAAGCGCGTGAGGTCTCCTCCTGCTCTGCAAGGGGTGTGTGTGTGCAGAGCTTTCAGTCTAAGCACCACGCACCCCTTGCAGTGTGGAGGCCGGGAGTGAGAGACTTTGCATGCTCCTCCCACCCCCAGACCCTATTTGGCCTGGGGGTGGGGGCAGCTCATGAAGTCTTCTCCTGCCCTGCAAGGGGGCAGATGCCTAGAGGAAACCGCCAGTTGCTCACAACAGATTGTAGTTCTCTCTAGGTGGCGGGAATTCAGGGACCAAGACTTCACGTACTCCCCCGCCCACAGGCCAATCAGGGTCTGTGGGAAGGGGAGAACGGAAGTGTCCTGGTCCTGACCCTTCCACCAGAGGCCCTTCCCCTTTCAGGGCAGCCCGGGACCACTACAAAAATTTAAAATGATTGCCCATCAATACTGATGAAAATATTGAACAGAGCTGGTCCCAGAACAGACCTCTATGGAACCCTGCTTGTGATGCCCTTTCAGCATGATTGTGAACTATTAATAACTACTCTCTAAGAACGGTTATCTAGCCAGATATGCACCCACCTTACAGTAGGAGCAGAACGGGGACAGGACATGCAGGAGGGGGTTGCCATGGGCTCCATGCCTGGGGCATTCATGGAGGTGTTGCTCCAGGCCCCACACCCAGCAGCGATGGTCCTGATTGCAAATTATATGCTGATTGCCTGTATGTTATGGTGAGGGAGTGTGCATGTCCTGTTGGAAGGGGTTAACAACAAACTGTGGATGGAGGAAGTCTTGGCCCACTGACTGTACTAGGCTTTCTCTGAGTGCTGTGCCAAAGGGAGCATATTGGCTCAGTCTGGGCCGTACACTAGACAGGAAGGTCATATGGTGGAAGCTCCAGCTGAAGACCAGCCACAGCCACTGCAGGCAGAAGCTGGAGGTCCTGGGGACCAAAATAGTTTTCCATGGCCGACAGAGCACCATGGAGCAGCCTGCACTGAGGAACTTATAGTCACTGAAGCCTCCTGGACTGCTACATCAGAGAATACAGTGACCCAGGGAGGATGTGCAAGTTGCATCTCCCACATAGGCAAGCTCAGTGTGTTTTGGTAGATTCCTTGATGGGCAACTGGCAGACTGCTCCACCACTGCTAAGGGCCTGGGTCAGAGGCTGGTGAAGTTGGGTGGACCCAGATCCACTTCCCTGGGCCATCAGCACTCCCTGCTGGCAGCCCTTTGGGCACTGGCTACTAAGCAACACTACCCTGTACCAAAGAGCCACTCTGTTAATTCTGGCAGCCAGGCCACACTGCCCTGGACACCAGAACTACTGCCTTCACTCTGGTCATTGGTCTTCCAGGTTGTGCGATCTAACAGTCAAACAGACTTAACTGCCGTGTCCACACTCCCACTACCCATCCGCTTACAGGGTGGGGAGAGCATAAACTGCCACAGTTACCATTTGCTATCTCTAAAGATCTAATAAGTTCACTAGCTCATTTTTAGGCAGTTCTTAAAACAGAGAATTGACACGTTTTGAAACAGACTTTACACAGGAAGTAGGAAGTCTGAAAGCACTTTGGATACAAAGTAGGGACGTTAGATAGAGGATACATAGAACAGTTGACTAACCGCATGAATTCTTAGTAGTTAGTCGCCTACGCTATAGTCCCCGGGGGCAAGGCCAGAAGCCAGTGCACTCCAATCCCACACCCAGGCAGCTCCCTGCCACCCTGCACTGCTGCCTCTGTGCCAGAGGTAGCAATGTGGGGTGACAGGCAGGTACCGGTTTGTGAGGGGAGCGAGTTTAAAAACCAGATTCCCATGCACATTGGCTGCCTGCTACCCCATACTGCTGCCCCTGATAGGGGGTGGCAGCAACTCCTGGATCCGGCGTGAGCTAGAACTGAGTCTGGGCTGCCACTGCTCCAGCCTCTGTTCACGGGGAGCTCAGATCCCCCACAGACAGGGGCTGCTGCAGCAAAGTCTGGATCCACCGTGGGCAGAGGCTGCTCAACAACAGCCTTCCCTGTCCCCCCACCCCACACTGCTGCCTATGACAGAGGCAGCAGCATGGGCCGGGTCAGGGCGGGGTGAAGGGCAGGCAGCACCGTGGAACCAGAGCTGGCTTTTAAACCAGTTCCCCCTAGCTCTGGCTCCTGTTTCTTCCCCCCTGCTGCCTCTGAAACAGAAGCAGCAAGTGTGTGTGTGTGGGGGGGGGGAATGTGAGTAGTCGACTAGATTTACTAATAAGCCTAGGCTTATCAGTTAATCGTCTAGTCCACTACTCGTTGGCATTCCTAATACAAAGCATCATTAGTAGAAAAAGAAATCTCTATGATTAATACATCCACTAACTGGAAAAACCAAGATGACTACTATGTGCTGCTAAGCTACCCTGGAGAGACCACTAATGTATTTAAAGTAACTTACAGGAGTGCCTTGCAGTCCTTGATCACCTTTGATTCCAATTCTTCCAGGTGCTCCTGGCCAACCTGTGTTTCCTTTTTCTCCTTTGGCTCCTTCTAGTCCTGGAGGTCCTGGTGATCCCACTGGACCTGGTGCACCTAAAATAGAGAGTTGGAAAAAACTTCTTGGCAAATTTGTTTTCTACAAGACATGAATGTTTGGATTTGGACCAAAGTAAAGGAAGGCAAGATCAAAGTAAAGCTGGTAAATTGACCTACCTGTACTATGGGTCTAATTCCAGTTACACAGTTTCAAAGTTTCAGGTTTCTGCGACTGGAGAAGCAGGTAGAGACAGGACTGAGAAATACCTTAATTCTCTGCAGGAGATTATAAGAAGCTAAGAGGCTTCACTCTTTCTCTCAACAAGGATCTGCCATAGTGATCCACATATTAATCTCATCTGAACTGAATTATTGTAATCCATTGTATCTGCAGCAATGCTGAAGCTTCTGCTCAGGCAGAACTTGGCAGCTTGTGTTGCTATTACTAAAATCAGTCCTGTACTCCTCATTCTCCATTGGCTTCTAATCCACTTTCACTGCCTACTCAAGGCCTTTGCCCCAATTTGAAATACATCTCAACAGGCCAGGATACATCATCATCAGCTATGGCATGTCCATTTATGGCTTGCCAAGAAAGCTGCACTCACTGGTACAAAGCTTCTAATGAACACCCTGAATGAAGAACAGTGGAGCTAGAGTTAAAGTGTTCTGAGTCAAGGGGGTTCATGAATGGAATGAGCTAAGAGGAGAGATTAATCGACTCCAAAGGCAGATCACTATAAAACTCTCCAGTGAGAGAATGCTCTTCTAGGACAACTACAGGTTAAATCTCTCTAGTCTGGAACTTATTGATTTAGCAACATCCATGGTCTGAAACTATTTTAGTTAGCCAGATGTCTGCTTATCATAGATGTGGCCATAGTCCCATAAAGTTTGTTTACAGCCACCAGTCCCAGCTCTCAGTGTTCTGTGCTGTCATTTAGCTCTAATTTACCCCTAAGTGTCTTCTAAGAGCCCAGTAAGCAGTGGAAGTGTTGGTATTACTGCTAGACAATATTGACCTCCCATGTTTTTGGAAATTCTTTGGTTTAGCAGTGGTCAGGTCTCAAAGGTGCCATACTAGACAGATTCACCTCTAGAAAGATTTCATTTTATATTAAAAAATCTATGAAAAGGTATGGAACTTTATAGACTTTACTACAATGCAATATGAAAATATATTATTAAAATATATTATTAATAGAAAGAGCTATTACTAATATCACTAATGCTGCCTAGTAATAAAAATAAATAATCTTATATCCTCATCATAGATATCAGCCATTTTATAGTTCACAGACTTTTAATATTTCAATACATTTCTTACCTGAAAGTCCAGGTTGACCTTGGGGTCCTCTATCTCCTTTAGGACCTTCCATTGGTCTGCCTGGTAATCCTGGAAAGCCTTGTTGGCCTGGAGAACCCCGTGGACCAACAGATCCTGCTTCTCCTTTGGAGCCAGGAATCCCTGGGATTCCCGGAGATCCTGGAAAACCTACATCACCTTTTGTACCTAAGATTTAAAACAACCCCAGAGTAGTTAGACAAAAGATAATAATCACTGATGTATTTTGCATCATTATGTACTGATAACCTTTTATTTCTTTATTTATTTCTGTGATAAATATTGATCACCCTTAGACATCTGGATTACAATGAAATTCTTCCTTGAAATTTCATTATTCTTCAGCAGATCTTGATAAGGCAGGTAAAAGAAATGGTCATCTTAACTGAAGTGTTTGGTTACATAAATTGTTTATGACCTCTTTTCCACTGATCTACTCCACCTTAATGCACTGCACTCCGACCTAACCCTTCTTATCAGCTAAATCCTAAAGCCCGTAATCAGCCACAGTTCCTCTTGTATTTACGCAGTGGAAGATTTCCTGAGGAAGGACAAAAAGATTTCATCCAGAAGAAGACAATAGATTTACTAAGATACACATTCAAAACATGAATTTTTCCCAAGTTTGTGTAAATAGGTAATTTAAACTGAATTTTACAACTTTCATTGCTCACTCCATGTATTTTACTGGCTGGCAAAAATATGTACAATAAAACACAATGGAAAAAGCAGGAAATATTGGTAGGCTTCGATTTTTACAAAATTAGTATGAAAACAGAAGGACTTCTAATTCAAAAGCATACCACGCAATACAAATATAGGAGTTATTTGTATTATCTCACCACAAAACAACTTGCAGTACATTCCACACTAAGGATAATTACCTATTTAGGGCATATCTAACTCATGTCCAAGATGCTGCTGCTGTAATAGAAATTAGTATTTGATACCTCAGAGTTTTGCTTCCAGATTTGCACAGTAGAGTACATAAAAGAACACAGTTGCAAATATGTTTGAACTAAAGAATTACATTTTAAAACTTTGTTTATTTTAATATTACCTTTATCTCCCTTTGCACCAGGATATCCTGGAAGCCCTCTCCCTGGACCACCTACAAGTGATGACAGCAAAAATGAAAAGACAAAACAGTAGTTATATTGAGTCCATAATTAATCTCATCCACACTTGAAAATTAATAGTTTATGCACAAGGTTTCCTGGGCAGAGATTGTCTTTCTGTTATGTATTTATACTCCATCTAGCACAATGAGGTTCTATCTGTGACTGAGACTCCTAAATGTCATTGCCATACCAATAAGGAAGTAAGGATGATACTGCTCCAATATTTCATAGTCAACTTGTTATGGGAAAAGATTTCCTCAACGGCAAATCTCTAAAATACTACCAGATTTTGTAACAGTTGTTCTTTCAAGCTTACACTGGTGCACAGTGAAGCTAACTAAGGACAGATCTACACTAGGACAGATCTACACTAGACCCGGCAGCTCAGCTTAAGGTACACAACTCCAGCTATGTAGAATATGTAAGCTGAGCTTGGTGGCATCCCTACAGAGGGAGGTTTACGTCTCCTTGCCAAAGCAGGAGTTCCTGATGCTGGGGGGGAACCCTCTGAGTTTGATTTAGCAAGTCTTAGTTAGACTTGCTAAATTCAACTACGGAAAATCGATTGTGGCAGTGTCGATCTTCCACGGAGTGAAGACAAGGCCTCAAGGTGTTCATCTCCGTCAAAGCTAGTTCAGGATTCAACAGTGCTAAGTCAACTAAGAAAAGATTAGTTTAGTTTGAGGGCTAAAGTAATCCTGTTTATTTTAGGTATAATTCGTTTATGGCTGTTGATGCAGGGTGCTCAGTATTTTATTTTGCATATTTGTTTTTATGTCATAAAGAACCATATTGTAGGTCCCTATTCAGACAAAACAGTTTTGACTTCATTGAAATTTTGAGAAAGTATCTCAAGATTTGGTCCAAACTGCACTAATCACGCACACAGTTCTTTTCCCTCAAATTTATAATTTTCAGGAACCTTAACTGGAAGAATATTAGATTATGTTTAATTTAAATATCCATGATAATGTTAGGAGTATGACAAGGACTGTAGCATCAATGGAGGTCAATGGGAGTTATGAGGAGATATAGTCTTGGTTCTGATGGAAAAAATTGTTTTTTCACAGAAATTTTGAAACAATTTTTTCTACTTTGTATAGACTAACTTTTGCTTACATATTTTGGTTTTAAAAACCAAACTGAAATTTTGTGTCTTTTTGAAGTGAAAGTTTACATGCAAATGGGTTCAAATATTTGGTGTAAATAAAATTAGTTATTTTCTGAAATATTTCAAAAATTGTTGCAAATATCTCAGGAGGGAAATGTCAATATTTAGACCAAATCTACCATTTTCTGTCCAAAATAGCAGCTTTATAGTAGTTTGGAAGACATTATACAAGCGTCAGTATATAATCCTTCCAATGTATGGATTTAAAAACTGCATGGTCCTCCATTTTACTTGACTGTGTAATCAGATACTTCCTGTGCTTTTCTGTAATAAATATCTTGCAGATATGTACCTTTTAACACAAAAGACAAGTAACATGGCATGGTGCTTACCTGGATCACCCTTTGGTCCAGGCGAACCTGGGATTCCATCGTAACCAGGTTCACCTTTATGTCCAGGGACCCCAGGAGGACCTTGTGGGCCAGGTTCACCTGAAAAATCATTTATTGCCATTTTATATTCCAGTCTTCATGTTTTTCACACATCTTTCTCTCAACGGAAACTTGGTTAATGAGGCTACTCCCACGGAAGTCAAACGGCAGTCATTTATTATATACTTCATTCTGCCTTACACTGGTATTATACTGGCCAAACTCCACTGCCTTCATTCTTGTTATTTCTGATTTATACCACTGAGAGAGAAGAATCAGTCCTTATAGTTTTTTATAATAATAGTTGTGAACCCAGCTAAGATTACAGTATAAGAAATTCCAGTAAGAGTTTGAGTTTTGTCTTGCAGTATCACCCACTGAATATGAGGTGTGTATGTTCTGCAGAGCGGGAACTGGGCCAAGATAATTCACACAATCAGCCTATATAGCCTTACTCTACACCTTAGCATACTCAGTGGCATGACAGCAATGTAACATAGGGCATGTCTACACTAGACTTATTTCAAAATAACTCCTGTTATTTCAAAATAACAAGGTGAGTGTCCACACAGCAAGCCTTTTATTTCAAAATTATTTAGAAATAATGGGCTTGTTATTTCAAAATAATAACCCCTAATTCTACAAGGAATAATGCCTATTTTGAAATTGCTATTTCAAAATAAGGTAAGTGTGGATGCTCAACTGCTGTTATTTCAAAATAATTACTCCCCAGAGTCATTCAAAGTAATTACTCCTCAGTGCGTCCTGGGGCTCTAATTCAAGGTAGCTTGTCCACATTAAGGGAGCCTGCCTCAGACTAATTTTGAGGCTTCCCTGTAGTGTAGATACACTATTTTGAAATAGTTATTTTGAGAGTTATTATTTGAAATAACTTATTTTGAAATAACCTTGTACTGTAGACATAGTCATAGTGAAGATGAGGCCATACAGGTCAAAGTGGGAGATTTTAAATGCACTTGGTAATGATAAAACCTGATACAGCCACAAATGGGACTGAAGAAAAACTGTCCCACAAACAGCTTTAAAGAACCAATCTCCTTGACATCTTAAGATGACTGGTTTTGCTTTGTAATACCCTTCTGTCCTCCATCTCAAAATTTTTTATCTATTTTGTCTCAAAGTTTCCTGGTCACATTTGTTCATTTCACAAATACAGAAGCCCACAGCCATGTTCAGTCACTTTGCAGAGTGGAACACAAACTTGAAACAGTGCTTCGGGAAAATGAAGTGGATTCTTTACCGGATTCTCCTTTTAAACCCTGAATGCCATCCAAGCCAGAGAGTCCTTTTTCACCCTTTGCTCCCTGGCTCCCTGGACTGCCTAAAGAAAGCAAGAAGATTTGATTCACTGACTGTACATTTGCTATTGTTAGTTTTACATTAAATGTTTTTAGGACTTGCCTGGATATCCTGCAGTGCCAGGGACTCCTCTTTTGCCCCTTTGTCACCAGAGAAGCCTGGAACACCTGGCCTTCCTTGTTCTCCCTACAAACAATAAGACCCATACACTTAAGATATATCATATCCTGCAATATTACATAATTCCCCCCAATTATATCCACCATAGGCACTGACTCACTGGAAGTGCCAGGGCTGGAGCACCCATGGGGAACATTTGTTGAGTGTTCAGCACCCACTGACAGCCAGCTTCCCCTGTGTCCCCCTCTCCCCAAAGCCTCCTGTTCTCCAGCGTCTCCACTCATCTCCTGTCCTCCCCCGGCCTCCCCGC